AGCAACATTCTCTATGGAGAAGTCTACAAGTGACTACTTAGATTAAGAGATACAGTTAGGAACAGAAGAAGCAGGAAAAGCAAACTGTGTTTAGACATTCCTTTCAGCCAGAGAATAAGAGTTGACCGGAGATCCCTCTAATACAGAAAGAACGATGTTCCTTCAGTATGTGGGACTTCAGCTCCAATCCCCCTCTTAGGGAGGAAGAACCAAAGTGCTGAATTCTGGGAAATGAGTGACATGAACTCTTTTGATTCTTTTGCCTCCTGACCCTGTACTTCCACAAATGATCGTTCTCCCTTTCCTAGTGGTAAAAGGAAGAGGTGGAAGAGTCTCTTGCTCTTCATTCTGGGTAAACAGCCCAGCAGTGTGGAGCTATTAGCTCAGCCTTCCCCAAGCTGGTGCCCCCCTCCCAAACCAGCTGGGAAATTATGAAGTCCCATCATTACAGCTGGATTAGTTCAACTTCCATGAAAATAGAGGCAGGGAAGTAGCAGTGGAATTTTGGAACTCATTACTGTATTTCAATATCAGGAACTTCCAGAATACAAACAATATATAAGGTTAGCCCAGAAGTTAATTAAGGAAGAGAAGCATCAGTGTTTTCTTATGTTAAAGATCTGGAACATAGGAACTGGAAAATCCAGGCTGGGGGTAGCAGGGTTTGCACATATGATTGAAGTTGGTATATTCTGCAAACTCTTTTGGCATTTTAATTATATTGTAAAAACAAGCTTTCCCTTTCAACATTCTCCCACAAGACATGTCTGCCCCAAGATGCTTCTGGCCATGAGCAGACCAAAGCTGCAGAATTATCTGGTGACACATTGTGGTGCCTATTGCATTATGCAGGCTCCCTGTGCTTTTACGAGGAGGAAGGAAAATGGCCAGTAAAGTTAAAGAGGCTTCAAAGTCCTTTTCAAGGAAACTTATAAATTCTTTGGCCTGTCACTGCCTGTCAGGGAACACCAAACCCTTCACATTTATTGCGAGGATCTGTCCCAAACTCTGCAGCCATCAGATTTTATGGTTTCCTGACTTGTGAGATACACAGGCAAGGACATCCTTTTGTATCTACACTTAAAAGGAAACTTCACATCACCCTCTTCTTGCCTCCCATGCTGTAAAGTTACACTGCACAGATAGCATATAGTATCTAGATCCAATGACAAATTGCCAGAATGGGATCAGCACAAAGCAAGAAGACATTTATCTTAAATGCCTACCTCTTAATTCAAGAAATGCTTGGACAGCCTTGGCTCAGGAATTAAGAGAACCATCTCTGTGCATGCTTAGTGATGCTATTATTTCAAGCACAGGTGTGTGTTTGTGTGTGAGTGAGCAAGAGAGCAAGCATGCCTTTGGTACGCATCACCCTTCCCCAACTTCTTGCCCTCCAGAACTATAATTCTGCAGATACCCAGAAAGCTTTAGCTGCAGGCATCACTTTGCTGTGGACCAGTGTTTCTCAAATTTGGCAACTTTAAGATGTGTGGACTTCAACTCCCAGAATTCCCCAGCCCGGAATCTTCTGGGAGTTGAATTCCCCACATCTTAAAGTTGCCAAGTTTGAGACACACTGCTGTAGACCAACTGGAAGAACCTCAGGGATAGAGGACACACAAGAGGCAAAGCAACAAAAGTGTATACATTTAGAAAAGCTTCAAGTTTCCACAGTACAAGCATTACAATTTCTCTACATTCTAAAAAGAAAACTAGTCCTTGCTCAAAAAGGTTAGAAAAGTTAAAAGCCTGTCCCTATATCAATAAACTGGATATACCCTCATGGGGTAAATGTAATTCAAGCTGGTATTTGATGTAGTGCTGGAGAACCAGAAAAAGCACTTCTTAAGAGTTTAAATTATTATTGTCTTCATGTCATTTCCACAGTAAGAAGTCTGATGCCTGAAATTCAAGCAATAGTTCCACTTAGCATGACTATTAAATAAAAGAGTGGATTGCTCAACAGGCTTATCATTTGCTCAGCCAGCAAAAGGGAACATCAATAAGGTTCAAATACAGCTCAAAGTTGGAGTTAACAGCAGGAGCAGCTAAAAGCCACTCATACTATTCTATCCTATCCTTTCTTTCTTTCCTATTGTCATTTATCCCTAAATCAGGTTATTTGAGACAGTATGATTGTTTTTTTTTTTTAAGGAACCAAGCTCCTACTTCAAAATTGGAGTTTTATTATTATCCTTCACCATCCTCTCCATTTTTCCTATCTTCTAGCAGATGACTGGGATGCAAATGAAGACCATGCTCTGGGAGAAGTCGGTCCTTCAGTTCAGCCCTCTTCAGCTGTATAACAAAGCATATTTAGAAATGTACAAGGAGAATTTCTTCCAGCAGAAGTCCTATTTTACATTCCAGAATCCCTTTAAACACTGTGCTCTTCTCATTCTCAGTCCTTTCCCTCTATCATTAACTGCAACTTCAAAATAGATCTTTAAAGTACCAGACTCAATACAAATTATAATTTGATTCCAGTTAATTACAAGCCAGCTCTTTGGAACCAGAGCAAACAGCACCCTATAAACAATGCATCCAGTGTACTTAGTAACAGCTGCTCAACACACATAGTAACTATCAGCAATTAGGAACATTCTCATCCATCATCAGTTTTCACCAAAATTGTCTTTGGATTATCTTGTCAGAATGGCTTGGCTTCATACTGAATGGACCACCCCAAAGAATCTGTCCTTAAACTACTATCAAGAGAACATGAAATAAAAAATAAAGGTGTTCTACTCAGTTCACACCAGAGATTAAATTGAGGGGAGGGAGTTAAAAAAATGAAGAACATTAAATTTTTCACTTTGCTCAAAATCATCCTTTCCACTGAGGAAAAAATATTCTTGAGGGGTGGAACAAATATATATCTACTGAATTGATATATTTATGGTGAAAGACTCAAACCATTTCAACCAAAGCAGCATATCTTCATTAACTAAATGGTTGTGACCATATTTTTCCACCAAAATCATTATCTCTATTAAACACACCATCATTGTTTCAGCTATATAATCTGAAGAAATTAAGGACTCAGAAAGAGCTCATGTATGTTTTTAAAAAACGGACACTCTAAAATTTTTGGGTTTCTTCCCATTTAATACATTTGCAGAAACCATTCCATCTTCCCCTTACACCCCATTTTGACACTCCACTCCAAGTTTTATACTAAAGCGAAATCCAACAATTTCTTTGGCTTTATAACACAAAGACACACATACGTGTAATTCTTAAATGCATCCCCCAAGGTATGTCTCATTGAATTCAGTGGAATTAATTCTCCCAATAAATTTATCCCCTGGCCATTTTGATAGACCTCAACCCTAAAGCTCTCTGAGATGGCAATAGGAATCAGTTCTTTATATGTTCCACTGGATTTGCTTCTAAATCAAAAATCATTTCCAGGACTTACTTCAAGGTAAACAGGTACAGGATGAGATTATAGCCTGTGGATCCCAAGTTAATTCCAGTTGTATTAGAATTAAGTCCCCTTGAGTTCAAAGTTCTTCCTCTCCAGAGGAAAGAAATGTGCATTTGGGCTGCAGCTGAACACAGCCAAAGCAGGCTGAGGTCAGCGGATCAACTCAGATGAGCAGTCCAGTCTGAGAACTACCATATCTGGGCAATCATAGCATAGCAGCAAAGAGGTACAGAAAACTTTGTTGCCATCTAGTGGCCAACTGGACTTTTGCAGCCCAGCTTTATCTGAAGTATGCTATTTTGCAAAACAAGGTCAGATCAAAGGTTCTGTCAAATAAAATGCATCCCAGGAACCAGGGGCTCCATTCTAGCCTGTTTCCCCTGAATGAAAGGAAAGGTAGCAACATTAATTCTCCTGGCATTTTTTCTGTACCTTTACTACACAATGCAAACAGACCCTGCAGATATCGGGCCCCTCATTGTGTGGTTCTGAACATACACTCTTTAAAAAGTCCAGATTTTCCCAAGAGCCATGATATTATTTCTCACTCCTTGACCTACAAGTGTGCCCTGTTCATTTTTCTCTTGTTTTAAAAAGTACCAGAGCCACAATGGTGGATTAAGTCAGAACCTGAGTATCAGGAAAATTTTACACCTTCTCTTCTCTTTTCTTTTTTTAATAATCAGATATCCCTCATTCTAAACCTTACGTGGTTACTATGTCTGCCTGGTGAGGATGTAGAAGCTTAGAGGCCAACCGCACATCTTTGAACATAAATGGCAGTAGGAAAATCTCTGGCACTTGTGCCAAGCCCGGGTTCACCCTATATTTGAAGAGCTGAAGCGAGCTGGTAGTAATGTTCCCAGTCAAATGCCCGCAGCACTGAGTCAAGCCGAAGCAGACCTCCGAGGACAACACCCCAAGTCACCGAAAGCAGCCCCCAAATCCCTTCAAGCCGAGCGGGGTTGTTCCACATGCAGAGAAGAAAAAGTTTGCCTCCCTGCCAGTTCACGGCCTCTCCAACTCCGCTTCTAGGGCTCCTCCGCGCACCTACCTGCGAACAGACCGCGCGGAACTTCCCAAGCAAGTCGGAGCAGGGTCGGGCTGCGGAGCCGAAGCTCTGTCGCCGCCGCTTCTCCGCGTTTGGAAACCCCCCGCTCCCCCGCTTTTCCCTTTGGTCCCCGCCGCGCGCGCAGCCGTAAGTCGCGCCT